GATTCATCTCGTCCACACTCTCTGAAACTGAAGTCCTTAATCCACACCGTCTGAAACCGGAATAATTTGGTCCACAAGGTCTGAAACAGGATTCAGTTAGTCCACACTGTCTGAAACCGGATTCCCTTAATCCACGCAGCCTTAAACCGGATTCCCTAAGTCCACGTGGTCTGAAACGAGGTTCCCTTAGTCCACGTTGTCTGAAACCGGATTCTTTTAGTCCACACGTTCTGAAACCGGATTTAATTGTTCCACAAGGCCTGAAACTGGATTCACCTCGTCCACACACTCTGAAACTGGTTTCCCTAGTCCACATTGTCTGAAACCAGATTACTTTGATCCACAAGGTCTGAAACAGGATTCAGTTAGTCCACACTGTCTGAAACCGGATTCCCTTAATCCACGCAGCCTTAAACCGGATTCCCTTAGTCCACGTGGTCTGAAACGAGGTTCCCTTCGTCCACGTTGTCTGAAACCGGATTCTTTTAGTCCACACGTTCTGAAACCGGATTTAATTGTTCCACAAGGCCTCAAACCGGATTCATCTCGTCCACACTCTCTGAAACTGAATTCCTTAATCCACACCGTCTGAAACCGGATTAATTTGGTCCACAAGGTCTGAAACCGGATTCAATTAGTCCACACTGTCTGAAATTGGATTCCCTTAATCCACGCAGTCTTAAACCAAATTCCCTTAGTCCACGTAGTCTCAAACCGGATTCTTTTGGTCCACACGGTCTAAAAACGGATTTAATTGGTCCACACAGTCTTAAACCGGATTCCTTTAGTCCATGCAGTCTGAAACCGGATTCCCTTTGTCCAAGCGGTCTGAAATCGAATTCTTTTCGTCCACACAGTCTGAAACCGGATTACTTTGTTCCACAAGGCCTGAGACCGGATTCTCCTCGTCCACACACTCTAAAACCAGATTCCCTTAGTCCACGCAGTCTGAAACCGAATTCTTTTAGTCCACGTGGTCTGAAACCGGATTCTTTTGGTCCATACAGTCTCAAACCGGATTTAATTGGTCCACACAGTCTGAAACTGGATTTCCTTAATCCACGCAGTCTGAAAGCGGATTCAATTAGACCACACAGTCTGAAACTAGATTTACCCAGACCACACGGTCTGAAACCGGATTTAATTGTTCCACAAGGCCTCAAACCGGATTCATCTCGTCCACACTCTCTGAAACTGAATTCCTTAATCCACACCGTCTGCAACCGGAATAATTTGGTCCACAAGGTCTGAAACAGGATTCCTTTAGTCCATGCAGTCTGAAACCGGATTCCCTTTGTCCAAGCGGTCTGAAATCGAATTCTTTTCGTCCACACAGTCTGAAACCGGATTACTTTGTTCCACAAGGCCTGAGACCGGATTCTCCTCGTCCCCACACTCTGAAACCAGATTCCCTTAGTCCACGCAGTCTGAAACCGAATTCTTTTAGTCCACGTGGTCTGAAACCGGATTCTTTTGGTCCATACAGTCTCAAACCGGATTTAATTGGTCCACACAGTCTGAAACTGGATTTCCTTAATCCACGCAGTCTGAAAGCGGATTCAATTAGACTTTACAGTCTGAAACTAGATTTACCCAGACCACACGGTCTGAAACCGGATTTAATTGTTCCACAAGGCCTCAAACCGGATTCATCTCGTCCACACTCTCTGAAACTGAATTCCTTAATCCACACCGTCTGAAACCGGAATAATTTGGTCCACAAGGTCTGAAACAGGATTCAGTTAGTCCACACTGTCTGAAACCGGATTCCCTTAATCCACGCAGCCTTAAACCGGATTCCCTAAGTCCACGTGGTCTGAAACGAGGTTCCCTTAGTCCACGTTGTCTGAAACCGGATTCTTTTAGTCCACACGTTCTGAAACCGGATTTAATTGTTCCACAAGGCCTGAAACTGGATTCACCTCGTCCACACACTCTGAAACTGGTTTCCCTAGTCCACATTGTCTGAAACCAGATTACTTTGATCCACAAGGTCTGAAACAGGATTCAGTTAGTCCACACTGTCTGAAACCGGATTCCCTTAATCCACGCAGCCTTAAACCGGATTCCCTTAGTCCACGTGGTCTGAAACGAGGTTCCCTTCGTCCACGTTGTCTGAAACCGGATTCTTTTAGTCCACACGTTCTGAAACCGGATTAATTTGGTCCACAAGGTCTGAAACCGGATTCAATCAGTCCACACTGTCTGAAATTGGATTCCCTTAATCCACGCAGTCTTAAACCAAATTCCCTTAGTCCACGTAGTCTCAAACCGGATTCTTTTGGTCCACACGGTCTAAAAACGGATTTAATTGGTCCACACAGTCTTAAACCGGATTCCTTTAGTCCATGCAGTCTGAAACCGGATTCCCTTTGTCCAAGTGGTCTGAAATCGAATTCTTTTCGTCCACACAGTCTGAAACCGGATTACTTTGTTCCACAAGGCCTGAGACCGGATTCTCCTCGTCCACACACTCTGAAACCAGATTCCCTTAGTCCACGCAGTCTGAAACCGAATTCTTTTAGTCCACGTGGTCTGAAACCGGATTCTTTTGGTCCATACAGTTTCAAACCGGATTTAATTGGTCCACACAGTCTGAAACTGGATTTCCTTATTCCACGCAGTCTGAAAGCGGATTCAATTAGACCACACAGTCTGAAACTAGATTTACCCAGACCACACGGTCTGAAATCGGTTTCCTTTAGTGCACTTAATTTGAAACTGTTTTTCCTTAGTCCACACGGTCTGAAACGTTAATCCCTTGGTCCACACGGTCTGAAACCCGGCTTTCATAGCCCACACGATCTGAAACCGGATTCCCTTAGTCCACACAATCTGAAACCGTTTTTCCTTAGTTCACACGGTTCGAAACCGTAATCCCTTAGTCCACACGGTACGAAACCGGATTCCCTCTGCCCACACAGTCTGAAACCGGATTCTCTTAGTCCACACGGTCTGAAACTGGATATCTTTAGTCCACTTGATGTGAAACCGAATCCTATTGGTCAACCCTGTCTGAAACCGTGATCCCTTAGTCCACACGGTACGAAACATTATTCTCTTAGCCCACTCGGTCTGAAACTGGAATCTCTTAGTCCAGATGGTCTGAAACCTGATTCCCTTAGTCCACTTGATGTGAAACCGAATCCCCTTGGTCAAATCGGTCTGAAACTGGATTTCCTTAGTTCACACGGTCAAAAACTGTAATCCCTTAGTCCACACGGTACGAAACATTATTCTCTTAGCCCACACAATCTGAAATCGGATTCCATTAGTCCACTCTGTCTGAAACTGGATTTTTTTTTACTCCAGACGGTCTGAAACCGGATTCCCTTAGTCCACTTGATGTGAAACCGAATCCCCTTGGTCAACCCGGTCTGAAATCGGATTTCCTTAGTCCACACGGTCTGAAAATAGCCATTTTTGGTCTTCACTGTCTGAACATATCATGTTTTGGTCCCAACGGTCTGAGCAGGCCTAATAGCGGTCCACACCGCCAGAACATAAAACCACAAACTGGACCCGGGATCTACCATATCATCTATCATATGTTACCATTTAGCGTATCAAATCATACATCATGCCATTTGTAATGAACACCGTTAAATCATAGTTTTTGGTATATCCCTTAATTTAGTCAAAACAAAGCAACAAAAAATACGAATCGCAATTTACTTTTAACCCGTGTAGGCATTACGTAACTATTAACTATAAAAATTGTGTCTTTCTCAGAGCAAAATTGTTTCAGACAACAACCAGGCCACAGTTGATTAGTTATGCACTTTTCTTAGGACAAAGCTTCGTAGTCTCACAAATAACGACAGATGGTGTTGAGTTGTATATCACATCAAAATTTTCCAATCGTGATACCAGCAGCAATAAAAATGTTCTGAAAAATCTCTGCGAGTTTTACCAAAGTTTTCAAAACAATTTTCAGCAAAATTTGACCACTTGAAACAATAAAGTCAATCGCAATTGTAGCCTGAAATTGTGCAGGCAGCTCAAAATCAATAACAGAACATCATTTCAAAAAACAACTAAAAGAAATTCTACAAATAGAAAAAGTTTTATTTTTTCAAATCGTTTTTTCCGTTTTTGTACAATTTTGTCAATTATCGTTTTTTTTATATGGGCGCGGTATTCAAACTCCACGAAATGAAAAATGGGTAAAATTAAATAAAGCAAAGATAACCGTTAATACTAGTAGTAAAGCAAAAATTAATCAATTTTTTTGTGTTTTTTTTGTAAATTTTTGGCCATTTTTATCCGTAAAGACAGAAATAATTTTTTTTTCAAAATTTTAGAAAAAATATTTTTTAGTCTCAAATTTTTTTCAAAATTAGACTTACACGAGCCTTTTGATAATCAAAATTTTATTCATATTGATTGATCATCTTGTGTCTTGATAGCAAGAACAAGCTCTCGACCAGTACGAGGTGTGTTTGTGTTTTCTAATTTTGCGACAAAAAAACCCACTGGGGTGGCCTGAAAACCCAGTTCAAATTGCACAGTAAATTGATATCCATGTACCTAAAATGAGTTTATTTGGAACTATACTTTTTTGAAAATTGGTTTTTTAAAAAACCGTTATTTTAAACTCAAATGCAAAATTGCTGTGCAAGTAGCACAGAATGTTCCGACCATATTCGTTAAAAAAAGTTTTTTTATTTTCTTCAAATTAATGTAATTTTCAGTGGCTGGTGTGGTTTGAGAAATTATACGAGTGAATTAAGCATGATCGAAAAAAATTTGTTATCAAAAAAAGAATACTGAAAAAAACTCTCTCCGATGATTATTTGTGGTAGTTGATTTTGCGTGAAAAACAAAAAAAGCAAAGTTTTTTGTAACATAAACTGCGATTAGATCTGTCTGTGCTACTTGTTGTTTTTGTTCATCAGATTTTCATATTCAACAACTCGCAAAGGCGACATTTTTTATCAGGACTCATCATTATTTTCTACCGTCTGTTCACGCGCGCCGTGTGTGTTGATTCTGTGTAGACAAGCGGAGGAGAAGCGTAAGCAGGTGGAGGCTATGGAGCGGGAGTTGGAAAAGAAGAGGTCGGCGATGGAGAAGGAGCAGTACGAGAAGGAGAAGGAGATAGAGCGGAAGACGAGGGAGAGGGAGAAGGAGGCGATGGAGAAGCAGAGGGAGTTGGAGAAGACACTCGCCGAACAGACAGTGAGTAGGCAAACGTCATCGCCTGTGCCAATTCACAACCAATAGCACTATTTTGCTGGCACAATACAAAAGAAAAAGTCACAGTTTAGGGTGAATTTAGTGTCATTTAGAAAAATCGTAGAAAAAAAATTTGGGGACCCTTTTGGTCAAGAGGGTGCCAAATTCCTGAGAGGGAGCAGATATCTCCTAAATATGCTTTTGTAGCCACTGGCCAGCCACAAATTGTATTGGAGGACTACGCCAAAAGCGACACTAAAAGACGTCTAAAGGTGCTTCGACTATAAGACAGAATGTTGACCAATATTAGCCCGGCTTTCAGCTAACGCTGCTTTCAAATCAACCATTAATTGCATCGAATTAAAATGGCATATTGCCAACTACATCCAAATCGTAAACTTCCGCATCATGGGTTTTGAATTCCAGAAACAACTGGAAGACGAGAGGTTCAAATTGGAACGTGAGATACAAAAACAGGCGGACGAACAGGAACGACAAGCCATGGAACTGAGGCGAAAGCTAGAACAGTGAGTCAAAGCCTAGATATGTTATTTTTATATCATTGGCACGATTCTCATTTTACGATACATTTTGGAGGTCAAAAACACACATGCTGTAGAAAACTGATTGTGTAAAAAACATAAAGTTAAATCAATTTTTTATTGGTGTCAGGTGTTGCTCTCAATCATCATAAAGAAAATAAGACTGAAAAAAATGACACTGAGAAGCTTGAAAAAAGGATCTGCGATACCACTGCTTTCCTTAAAGTTATCACCGTTATTCGGGAAATTTGAGTTTGATCTTGAGTTTTTTCTGCATGAAGTCGGCAATCTTCTGTCTGTAATCATAGACCACCTTCACTATCATGGCACTGAGTGTGGAAGATATGACACCACAAACCAGCTCCACAGTCTCCTCCAAAAGAGAACCGAGCAGATCTAGACTCAAAAAATATATATATTCAATCTCACGGAGTATATGCTTCTAATTCAATTTTCCTGGTCGTCTTAGAAGTATTGATTCGGCATGTGATGTGTGGGCTTATATATATTTTTTGAATTTGGAAGATCTGATTTGAATATTATTAGAAGATTTTTACTACAAAAAAACTCTCCAAATTAACACATTTTGCTCCACAGATCATATTGCGCTTACCTGCTAAGTACGAAACAGCAGCTAACATGTTCGAAAATATCCCATGCGACAAGCGTTCAATTGCCAGAACGAAAAACGGGGTAACAAAATATGTTAAGCTGGCTAAAACAAGAGCAAAATTAATAAAGGCATGATTCTTCAATAATAGTTGGAGGCAGTTATTAAACGAGCTTCTAATTCTGTACGGCTTAAAACTCATTTCTATTTTGAATGTTGACTTTCTATCATCTAAACCACAATTTAGCCACAAACAGCTTCAGAGAATTTTGAATGCGACACCTAACTTCTAGTTAGTAACTTCTGCTGAAGTTATTTGCAGATAGTTTCTCACTCTTATTTCCTCTTACATCCGATTAGCGTTTGTCAGCTGATTTCAGTTCAAAAGGATGTCAGGACAAAAGATACCATATCAAAGCTCACGTGACAAAAGATAGCGTAACAAAAATCCCATATACTAAAATTGCTCATACCATAAGGTTCCATGCCAATTAAAAAAATTATTTGAATTATGAAGAAAAGACATAATCAATGTATAATCATTAGTAAGTCTAGAGTAATGATACCTCATTATGGTTCGCACTATTGCAAATCTAAGATATCCAAATTCACACTAGACTCAACTTGTAGCTTAACATACTGCAACCATGATTTAAATTTAGTGTTAGCTCAAAATCAGCTCAATTTAAATTGTATTCATTCTGCATTCATTATTTCAATTTTTAACAAATTGTATACTCAAAAATTGATTCTTTCACTTGGGAACCTTAAAAAAAACAGCCAAACGCTCATTATTTTGACGGGATAATTTTCAAAAGAAGTGCAATGCAAAGACATCAACACGCTCGCGCTGCAGCAAACAGAAATCGTAAAAATGCCCAAAACTTTTAATCACATGTGGGGGCGATATAACCTCAAACAGCAACGAGCATAGTCACAAACCCATTGCAGGACGCTCAGAAGTTCGAATATTGTTTTCAGCAAATGAAGGAGACAGTCAGGAATCAATTAAACCAGCAAAACAGCCAGCTAATCGCAGCTAATTCAAATAAGGCGAAGGACGATAAAGCAAACTAACTGTCCTTTCGTCGGCGATAACTGTTATTGGTCGGCGATAACCCGGGCTCTTTAGTAACCAAACGACATCCAAAACCCACCATTGCTATCAATCCACGTCATGTCGAAATACCGGATCAATTTGGGCAGTTTTTTTTGGTAGTAGAAAACAAAATACTAAACGCATATTTATCAAAAACCGAGTTGGGCCTTAAGAAGACGTACGAGTCAAACAACGAGCTAGTCTTGCCAGAGATTATGATTTTTGCCTTTATTTTTGTACTTAGCATTCAAGTAGTAAATATGTAGCTCCCAGACTAAAAAAATCACAAGCACATCTAAAAAAAATAGACAAGCCCAATGCTCATTTCCAAAAAAGTTGAGCAAAAAGGGATATAATTGGCCGGAAAAAACATTAATTCCAATTTTTCTATGAAACAATTTTTAAAATGCACTGGGTGGTCTAGCCTGAACCACAGCTGTGCAGTTGAATAGTGGCATCTTTGATTACCGGTAGACATCCTTCAAGATATATGTTTCTTGAAAAACTTCAACTGGGTTCGTTTAATCAAAAATTCAACATCTTCAAAGTATCTAGCGGTACTATCAAATTATCCTAGAAATTAGCCATGATATGAACGACAAAGTTCTACAGACAACTATATCATACAAAAATGTTACCATATTACTTTTTGTGCGTTCCTTTGCTCATATAACTTATTCTTATGATTTTCTAATTTCTGCTCACCTTGTATTTGAGTTAAATTTTTAAAATCACTTTTTAAAGACTCACCATTAGGTCCTCCTGGAGAACTTTTATAGGCAATACTACAGCTTGCACTCGAAAAGGCTGCCTATAGCAATGTAATCTCAGAGCAATTACCTTTGATTGGGAGTACACCTCTTTAAAATTGCTTCTAGAGACAAAAAGCTGATCAAAATCAAGAAAATAGACTTTTTTTATCAATCACAACCTCCAATAATTAGCAAGAATTTGATTTCACAGTCTTACAGTTTTGCATTTTTTTTTGTTCCCACCTAATTCGTCTGAAAAATGTGACCAATTTTAGCAATTTTAATTTTGATCTACTGGAAACTTTTTTCAAGTTCATATATGTCTCATCTGTTTTGAAGCTTGTATTTCAGTTCGAAAGCCAAATGATTAGCAAGGTTATTTGTGTTCGGTAATTAAGCAGCAAAGTTTTTTAGTTTCTTTAATTTAAACCGAAATTTTTAGTTCGCTTTAATTGATTAAACGTCTTCATTTTCAATTCTTTTATTTTTTGTTATTTGATTTTGAATTTATATGTCGTTGGTAATTTTTGAATGAGGTATTAGTTGGACTGGTATCTTATTGTCTGGGATCTTTTCAATTGTGTTCTTTTTAGTGAGGGATTTTTTGTCAAGTATACTTTTTTGCATTCGTTCTTTTTCATTCGTCCTTTTTGCATTCGTTTTTTTTTCATGCATTCGTTATTGAGTAATCAAAGGTGGAAATGGTTCTTGTTAAAAAACGCTCTCGTCGCAGCATTTAAAAACTTGAAAAATAAGAAATTCATCGAAAAATTTACAATTTTTTTTGGTTGTTCTATATTTTGACTTCTGAAACATTCTGAAAAAATTTGCAACGTTTTAATCAATAATAAATTTAACCTATCCTGAGAACAAAAAAATTTTGTATCTTATGGGCTGGGATTTTTTCAATTTTTTTTTTTCAATTGAGATCTTTTCAGTGAGGGATTTATTGCCTTGTATCCTTTTTTAATCTTCTTTGAAAAGGGATTTTTTTCATGCATTCGTTATTTAGTCAAAAAAGGGAATTGTTCACGTCAAATAACACAGCATTTGAAAAAAAATCTGAAAATTAAAAATGTCATTAAAAATCACTGAATTTTTTGATGAAAGAAAACCTCGAATTTTTTGTCGTTCTAAATCTTAGCATATTGAAAATTTGCATACTTTTATTCAAACTAACCTGTTCTGAGAAACAAATACGATTTTTTTAATACATGACATATGCTTGCTTCTTTTGACTCCTTTCAAGCAGCCTGAATGTTAGATATTTAGGAGGTAAGAGCGGATCTAGAAGCTCTCAGGAATTCGACCCCTGGGAAAAGCGTCATCCCATTGGTACTATTTTACGGCATTCATTTTTAGCTTACCGACTTTAAAGTGTTTTAAAACTGTCTTGGGGGTCAAAATATACTAATTTTGAGGGGGGCCGAGTGTAAAAAAAAAACACATTTTTTTGGTTAAATCCTTCAAAAAAGTTTCAAAGCGTCGTTTTTGGCCTATTTTTTGAAGAAAAAAAATTCTCAAGATAAGATTTCTATTTTGTTTTGGGATATCACGGAATATCAATTTAGTTAACCTTAAAACAGTCAGCGAAATTATAGAATTTTTTTGAAAATCTGCCCTCTTTTTTTTCTGGTTTACTTGCCTCAGTGAAGCTTATCTTTGAAAAATTCTTCGTTTTTAAGATTTCGTTAGCGTTCTTCTCAACCGTGCGTTTGCAAGTGGTTCAAAAATTCTCAGCTTTTTTGAACAAAAAAGTTTGCAAAGCTGATAGTTTTTCTGCAACATTTTTCTAAGAAATCATGTTTGTTTACATTAAACTGTCCGTATCACACTGTTCAAGGTTAATTGTATTGTATTAATGGAAATTAACATGTATTTACAGGGATCAACAGCAGCAGTTCTACCAGAAACAGAAGGAAATAGACGAGCGAATGAGGGAACAGGAGAGGAAGTTCAACGAACAAGAGAGAGAACTCGAAACCAAACGGATGGCAAGTTTCTCAGTGATAAATACCGTTTCAGGCAATTTTTACATCCGATAAACTCAACACTTAAAAAACTAAAATTGGCTATCTAAAAGTTTTTTGTAGCTGAACAACAAAAGCCCTCATTTCATCTGAGTTTCACTTTTTGACTCAGCTAACTTATTTAATGCTTCAAAAAACATCTTTTCTTTTCTTGAGAATTTCTGGTGGCTCGTTTGCGGCAGCTGTTGATTACATATCTTTTTTTATACGTTCATTCGAATACATTACGCTATTTTCTAGCGATTTGTAAGAATTATGAATATGTTTTGATATAAATGATTATTAAGATTGGTTATGGGTATATTATAATAATAAGAGATGTTCAGAATGGTTATGAGATCTGGTTGCGATATAAGTGATTGTTAAGAATGGTTATGAATCTGTTGTGATATTAGTGATTGTTGAGACTGGTTATGAATCTATTGTAAAATTAGTGATTGTTAAAGGATCGTTGAAAATGGTGATGGTATCGTGTTAACAGGAGATGGAGGCGGAGGCGTTGCGGAAGGTGCAGGAGCAGGAGAAGAAGTTAATGGAAAAGGAGAGGGCGATTGAGAAGGAGAAGATGGACATTGAGAAGAAGGCCATGGAACAGGAGAAGGAACTGCTCCAGCAGGTAGCTACTATACCATACAACCAGGGGTGGATTTAGGGGGGTCCTCCCTTTGTACTATTTTGAAATATCCATTTTTGGTGACGGGCCCTAAAAAATTTTTAAAGGCGCCTTCGGGGGCCTTTAAAGGGGGGAGCGCGCGCTGAAAAAACTAGTTTTTTTGGTCAAAATTTTCAAAAAAAAACACCTAAAAACGCTTTTTGGCCTTTTTTCAAATTTTTGCCTGCGGCGCAAAAGTTTTGGCCAAAACAGGGATTTTTTAGTGCTTTGGGAGAGCTCGAAAAATAAATTTGGTCAACCTAAAAAAAGGGTCGACAAAATTTTCGAATTTTTTTGAAAATCTGCCCCCCCCCCCTAGAGAAAATCACATACATCAAAAGGGAAGCCACAGATAATAAAACTAAATGGTTGTGGAATAAAAAAAAAGAGGAAGTTGAAAGTTGAGTGTCTGTCCGGCAGAAGGTAGGTGGTCTGATCCGGGAGTCCTAAAGTACCATAGTCGAAAGTCTTTGTCTTACTCGAATGAAGCAATGCTTTTCTCAGCCCTTGAAGTTAATCTGATCGAGGCTGTGATCAAGGATTTCAGAGTCTTACTCTTACTCTGGGATGAAAAGTTTAAATAACCATTGAATAGTTTTACTCGTTGACAGATTCTGAGGGGATGTTTACGTATTCATTTTTCATAACAACTTTTTTCGTTATAAAGGTCACGAAGGCATATATTTTGAAGGTAACTTAGAAACAAAATGTGTAGCTCTTTGAATAATTGTCATTTTAGCAAGCTGAGATTGAAAGAGCCAAAATGGTAATTAATCCACTCTCTCGTGTGACACTGGGGTTTTCTGTACTAACCATTATGAACAATTGAGCGTCGTGTTGTCTCTTTTTTCTCAAACTTTGGAGAGCGCTATAGTTGATTGGATACAACTTCGAATATAATATTGTATCTTCGAGTACAATATCTTTTAAAATTTTTAGAAATGGAAATCAGTGAAGAAAATTTGAAACAATTTTTTTTTAAAAATTCTCAAAAATTGACCTAATAAATTTTAACGCTTTACGAACATGCTTGTTTCTTTTGCAAATATTATTTGTTTGCTACCATGGTTTGCATCATTTTAATGTACTTGTATGAGGTCATTTGATGGCTACTATTGAGGGAGTGTTGCAGGAGACGGAGAAAGACAAGGCGCGTCTGGAGCAGAGAAAGCGCATGCAACAGGACACAGAACGACTATCCCAACTCACCAAGGGCTTGGACGTAAGAAGTTTTTTCCTTCAGTTCTAGGCCGTCTGACTCTTTTGACTAATTTATTTCAACGAAATCAAAAACAATATTGAGTTAGAAAGTGTTTTCCGTGAACAATTTCTCGCTAGCAGAATGGCTAAAACTAATAAAAAGTATATATGTACATTCTTGGTTGCTCTGTAGATAGTGTGCATGCTCATGTGTATTTATATTGTCAAGTACGCTTAACATTCTTCCAATGCAATGTTTTCCTCATATAAAGAAAGAAAGAAAGAAAGAATTTATTTCTCTAGTCAGCATTAAATACAACATTGAATATATTTATAATTTAAGTTAAATGATGCGACTTAGAGAGGATAGACAACGGGACCTAAAGGTCCTCCAGGGTCTACCCTTAAGTTGTTCAAACATAAAGATTTAACACTAATATTTAATGAAAAAAAAAAAAAAACGAAATTTGAAAAAAAAAAAAAAAAAAAAAAAAAAAAAAGTTTTGAAGTAGGTTTACTTCCGTAAGTTAAAATTTTTTGTTGGCGTTACTGAAAGAGCCCATCAACTTTAACTTAAGACAACCAGGTTCACGGTCGCAGGTGAGTTTTAAAATAATTTTTAAGAAAAATAATTTTTTTTTTTTTTTTTTCAAATTGTAAAAATGGCCATATCTCCTAAACTACAAGGATTTAGAGCTTCATATTTTAGCACGAGAATCGGAAGCTAGAGCAGTTGCCTGGTAGCATTTAACCAACGATAATCATTTTAAAGAAAAAAGGAAAAAGGGAAAAAGTACTACAAATCGTAGATAAGTTTTGTTAGTTCGTCGTTTTGCAACAAAAATGTATTTTTGAAATTATGGTAAAACACTTTTACTTTTGTCTCAGAAAAACTTTCAATATTTTCAGGAATTATATTTTGCAGTCTCAATAAGTTAAAAAGCTTGCAAGCACGATATCGGATAGAAAAACGTTCAAATCTTTTCTTGCAAAGAGGTTCTAATAGTAAATTGTATTTTGAGTTTCTTGTTTGTCTCTGCCGATTATTAAAAACAAACAAATTGTTAAGGAAACTCTCTGAATGAAAGGAATTAATTGAGCGCAGAACAAATTTGAGCAATTCGTATACATGCAATTCGAAAACCGATAGAAAATTGTATTTAAGAAAAATGTCATTACAGGAGTACATTTTCTTTCGAAAGAACATAAATTTAATTATTTTCTTTTGTAAAAGAAATAAACACTCCAGTGAACTTCGACTGCAGCAACCGTAAATCAGAATTCCGTATTGTATTATAGGAACAACATTACTTCTGTAGTATTCTAGTAATTGTGAAAGCGGCACGTAATGCCTCAGTTTTGATATAATACCACATTGTTTACCGAGTCTCATTTTAACATTATTAATATGAGTTTGATAAGATAACTTACAATCTATATAAATTCCTAGATATTTGCATACGGGTTTTAGTATAATGTTAGAAGAATTAAGCTTGAAGCGATAATTGGAAGCACTTTTTATATTCATTTGATTTGTTTTATCACTATTAACTATTAACTTGTTGGCGAGAAGCCAACGATCCAGCTTGCCAATATCTTCTCTAATTTGAGTTATTTGGCAACCAATTGCCGTCAGGTTGGTGTCATCTGCAAACAGTGTTACTTCAACTGATTTGCATGCTGATGGAAGGTCATTTACGTAAATTAGGAAAAGCAAAGGTCCCAGTATCGAGCCTTGAGGAACACCGCATGTTATTTTCTTCCAATCAGAGAATTGTCCATTTACTAAAACTCGTTGAGTCCGTTCAAATAAGTAGGTCTGAAACCACCGGTTACAATTTCCTCTTATACCATAAGATTCCAGTTTATTTAGTAGTATTTGATGATCGAGAGTATCAAAGGCTTTCCTAAGATCCAAGAAAAAACTATAAATTTCATTTGTATGACTTCTCATTCTTAGATTTTCTGTCAATTCAGCTACTGCATCTATTGTACTATGTTTGGTTCTAAAGCCGAATTGTTTGTTGTATAAAAGGGATAAATTTTCAAAGTAAGAATATAATATGTTGTGCATTGCGCGTTCATAGATTTTGCTCCAAACTATTAGTAAAGAAATTGGCCGATAGTTGTTTTCATCTCGCCGCGATTTTTCTTTGTGGATTGGAACAATTTTGGCTTTACGAAGTTCGGAAGGGAAAACACCTTTAGAAAAAGACGCATTAATAAGTATTGTTAATAAAGGAGCTACAGCATTTTTAGAAGATTTGACAATTAAGTTACTGACGTAATCATCCCCAGATGTCGATTTATCGTCCAATTGAGAGATGATTTGGTGTATTTCTGGTTCTGTTACCTTAAAAAGAAACATGGAGTGATTTAATTTGGGTAAGCATGGTGGATCTATTTTAGGCAACTCTTTTTTCAAATTCTCTCCAATGTTAGTGAAGAAATCATTGAATTTGTCAGCAATATCTTTATTAGATGGATTTTCTTGGACTTGAAGGCATGAATCTAGAACAGGAATATTTGATTGGGCTAAGTTCTTACAATTTAATTCATTGAGTAACTTATATGTTTGTCTTGAGTCTCCAATGCAATGTCTAAATTTATTCATGTAATGTGTTCTTTTCTTGCATTTAACGGCGTTTTCAAACTTTTGTCTTTGTTTTTTAAAATTCACTAGGGTTTCTGGATTTTCAGGATTATTTTTCCATCTTCGATGGGCTGCATTGCGCTTATTTCGCAGATTTTTAAGATCATTGTTGAACCATGGTGGCTGAGTTTTGCTTCTTGGTGAAATTGCCTTTAGCGGAGCGAATTTGTCTAGGACATTTTCAAAGATACATTTGAATAAATTAAAAGACTCACTGGGATCTTCGGTACCCATGAGAATTTCTTCCTGTTCACTTAACACACGCTGTAATTCATTTTCAAATTCTCTACATTTTGAAGCCTTCCTCAGAAAAGATGTATCACGGAATGTTATCGATATATCTTTTTTACATTGCTTTATTGACCAATCTAAGAGGATTGGATAGTGGTCTGATATAGTTTCTTGTTCTAACACCGTGGAATTGGGATTTGCAATATTTTGATAGATGAAGTGATCTAAACAAGTTGATGTTGTTAATGATACACGAGTAGGTTCTGATGCAAAATACTCAAACCCATTCGAGTTTATAGCGTTCAGGTAATTAATGGTGAGTTGATTTTCTTGCAGTGTATTTATATTGAAATCGCCACATACAATGAAAGGGTCAGAATGTGTGCTATTATCTTCAAGAAACTGTTCAAGTTTGTCAGTAAAGAGTAACTTGTTTATTCTTGGTGGATTGTAGATGACGGCTATTTTTAATTTGTAATTGTTTTTTTCGACCTCCGCGAATAAAGCCTCTTCAAATGTGACATCTCGTTGTTTCAGTAAATTACAGTTTTTATGTACCTGAACCATCACTCCTCCTCCTCTCATGCCATTTCGATTTTGCATAAGGCATTGGTTATAACCATTTATCAGGTAAATTTTACCTTCATCTGTTTCATTTAGCCATGTTTCGCTTAAACAAATTATATCAGGTGGAGACTCAAGACTTAAAATAAGTGCTTCCAATTTTTCATAGTGTGGTTTTAAAGACATGATATTTAGGTGTAGCACAGAAAAATTAAAGAAATCCGCTTTATGACCAGATTGATTATTATAACAGGTAATTTGGGATAATTCATTATTAAGCACAATTGAGGGATTCACATTATCAGTCACGAAAACAATTCATGGTGTCATTGTAACTGTAACCAAGATCTGATGCAGCATGGAAAATATTTTGATATCTATACACTTGATCATTATTTTGGAGAGTGTATAAAATCATGCCCTCTCTGGTCCATGTTGATGCGATGCGCTTGTCAGTTTTCATAAGCTTCAGAAACTTCACTCGTGCTCTGGTGATGTCTTCAAATACTTTAACATTTTCAGTGGTGGGCTTGTCTCGCAAGGTTTTTTTTTTCCTCATAATTTCCACTTTGGCTATGCGCCTGGAGAACTTCACAATGATAGGGCGGGCTGCTACATTTTTGGCTGGTAATCGATGAGCAATTGAAATGTCGCCTTCCTCTACCTTTGCATTAATCTCCTTAGAGATGGATATAATCTTCTTGATTGTCTCTTCAGGCTGCTCTCTACTAGTTTCGTTTATTCCCAGTACTCGAATATTGTCACGTCTGTTGTATGTTTCCTGCTGTTCAGTCTCGCACAGGGTCCTTAAGGTACTTCTGAGTTCGCTGTTTTTCATTTCGTCGTTAAGCTCTTCGCAGATTTCTTTCTTAAGGTTTGCGCATTCGGCTCTTATTGCATTTCCTATGACTGTCTGCAATTCGTTCTTCAAATCAAGTTTTAGTTTTTCCAGAATTTTTGGGAGTGCTGTGTTGATGGCATTTTCGACAGCTTCTTCTATGTCAATACTCTGCTTCTTACTTTCTTGCTCGTTTAATGGACTCATAACTTCATTTGGTCTCTT